ATATGAAGGAAAAAAAGTGTACGATTCGACGTGGAATGGCCAGTATATATATTCATTTATTCAAAGAACGATACTATTAGGTGTATGGTGGTTTTGTCTAATGATTTGGAAGCAGTGGAGATGTAAATACTGACGTAAATTGGTCAGAAAAATGAAAGATGGAAAAGGAAGTTCTGGCAGAAGAGCAAAATTTGAAGCAAAACTGAAGGGCGAAGTTGTAGCAGACAGAGGGTGCAGCTGAACAAATGGAAATGCTTTTAAAACAATAAATGAAGTTAGACTGTGTGTCTTGACGGTTCAGTTTGTTGCTAAGGCAACGATGAATATAATTAATTTTGTTGCGCGTAATTGCAACGTTTGGTTTCAGAAATTGCTGTTCGAAGAAATTTTATGCTATGGTTGCTAATATAACGGTTGGCTCTAGTCCATCATTCGGTTATTAATTCTCCTGGATATGTACAACGTAGAAACACTGTTGTCTTTATTTTCCTTATTCAAACGGAGATAATAGTGAGAGACAGTAATTGTGGATTTCACTTCGCGTATGATGCTTAGCTTATGATTTTTTAGTTGAATTCTTAGTTATTTCGTTTTGTAAGCTTTACACTGCACCGCTTAGACAGCCAAATAAAGCACGAGATAATCCCTGTCGTTTTAAATCCTGTACCTCTGTTGGAGGATATGCTAATTTAGTTTAGAAAGTATAAAGCTACAAGATTAGCGTCCAATCGCATGATGCCATAGCGGCGTCGTAGGATACAGTAGATACGCCGTACAATATCTGTAGCCAGTGCCTGCAAATGTAAATGAATGATCTCTTAGCTATCAGAGGATCAGTGAAACCTTTTGCTCCAATAAACTCAATTGCCCTGTTACTATCGACTACCTCCTTCGTTACAACCTCTTTTTCTGATGAGCTGTTCAGTGGCATCATCTTGAATAAAGAAAGTAAACTACATTTTACTAACGGCCAGTTTCCCATTCGTTCCTCCGGCAGAATGCAGATGGACGTGATGCAAGAAAGCCAAATCTTCGCCCATTAGGTTCGTTTTAAAACTGTTTTGCTCAAACAATATTTAGATTTAAACAACTTTTGCGTCTTATGAAAATCCATCTTCTACACTTCAGGGCTGCAAAGATTTGCTAAATTTTATATAGGGGCGTTCATTTCCAATCAATGTGAAATTTTTTGGGAGTGAAATGTTGTC